GTGCCATCATGACTCGAGAAATCGGGTCGTGACATTAGAACTCAGTCTGTGTGAGTATGCTTACATTCCCGGTCCCAAGCATGTATAAAAGAGGGTTGTGGTAGACTAAGTTGCTGAGACTTTTCATTTTCAGTGCTGCACCCGTGTTGATATGACGTGTGTGGGATCCGTATCCGATCTAGTCAACTCATTTTGGGTACTTTGACCAAATTTGATGGAGAAATTCTGGACATAATTATCTCATAATTCAGGTTTTGTAACTCTATTTTAGATATTTGAATTATTTTTTAGCCGAATCCCCGCACCCTCATCCATACTTGGATCCGTATCCCTGAATTTTAAAATTTAGATCATGAAGGATCCGACCTCTAGATCCATAACCGTATTGGACAACCACTCCAGAGTCCGAGTAACTTAAGTGGTAGGCTGACAGCTTGCATAAGGCTTGCCAACATTGTAACTCCATAAAATACAGATGAATAAGTGGGATTGATATAGCCGACCCCAACTTGTTTGGAATCCCAACCTATTTGTTCTTTCTTTGAATTTCATATTTCCAAAATTATGACTTAAACTATGAGATTGTTAAAGCTACCGATTACCATATGGTTATTTTTATTTAACGCACAGAAACTACCCATTGCTTTTATGCGTTGTCGTCATCATCATCATCATTTTTTGGTATATTCTTCTATAGTATTTCCGTCGAATTACCATGGTTATTTTGATTTGTATTTTCCTTCCGAAGTTCTAAAATTGGGCGAAGTTATCTGAAAAGATGGGTTGTGCATAAATTATGATAGTCATTAACTCGTTTTACATTGATATAGATTCTGCAATGCCTCTCGATTCAAGGGCTAACATCATCTGGGGGCAGTAACTCTATGGGTGTAGATGGGAAAAATAGCAGTGGAGTATCAAGAGCGCTTGTAAAAGAAAGGTCCTTCAATTTCTTTAGCAGAGTTAACTTCATGATCAAGTATCTTCATTCCAGTCCGCTTAGCATTTGGTAAAATTTTACAGGTTGAAGACATTCAATATTCAATTTGAGGATCTTCATCAAAGACAAAGTCAATGGACAGTCCCAGACACCGAGCTACGAGAGTCATTGAGGCTTGCAGTCGCTGAAGTCTTACTGCCTGCATACAGATCCATCGTATTTAACATGACATGTTAAGTTTGTATTGAAAAATATCATTCTTATTCCATCGTACACACATTTTATGTCTTATTGAGGGCAGAATAAAATTATCATAGCGTTCGTTACATGTATCATCTGCATACACTTGTGTTAATTATCACCAACGTACCTGTAAAATCAAGTGATACGAGATAGAATTCAGTCGAATGCAATAACTTTTCAAAAAACTAAAAGAATGAAATATTAATTTTGAAAAGAAAATTGCAATCGTAAATGCATACATACCACATACCACAAATGCAAGCAAAGAGAAAAATAGCACAGCGGAAAAATACACTAAAATTTTCCATCGAATAGTTTAGTGAAAAAAATAGTCAATTTACCTTTCTTTTATAATAGTAAAATTGAGAAATTATGGGTAATGGAAGTAAAACTTACCATGTCATAATTAATTAAGTTACCAATTATATGTATTAGAGAAGGATTTATTTTGTCCAAACTTTTAAAATTAGCTTATTATGAAAATTATTTTTCTTAAAGAAATTAATAGTTTTGGTAAGAAACAATTAGTGTTTGACCAGTAAATTTTAAAAGCATTTTAAAACAATAATTCAGTGTCATTCTTATTGTGTTTTTAGGAACAAGATTTCAAATACGTGTAGCGGGGATGAAGTAGTTCTTTCACACTCTCTTTTAATCAAGGCATATGCATAAATGTTTCCTTAAACTTGGGCTCATTTCATATTTATGCCCTCCAATTTTGGTTGACACACATGTCCTACGTGACATCCTACATAACAATTTCTTCTATTCCTTTGATTTACTATGAGTCTCTTTTTTTTTTATAACTTTTTTTTATTTGTTTAGCCTTTTTAAAATATATCATAAATTTTGTTCTGTAGTAATACGTATGAATTAACAAAGACAACTAATATAGGATTTAGTTTTAAAATTTTTGAACTAATTTTATATAAATAATTAATTATGAAGTATTACATTTAATATTATAAGCACCTCTAACATGCTATTTATGAGTAAATCGTAAGAATATACGTAACAAATTCATTTTAAGTCGATTTTAATCATCCAATATTTTGAAAGCAATAATATTAATTATTATCTTAGATTCAAATACATGTAGATAAATTTTATATGGTAGAATGAAAACATAAATAAAAATGAAAATCTGAATATAACATTTTGCAAGTCATCATTCATTTTATATTTTTATTATATACTCTAAAAAAATCAATAAATGTATTTTTTTTTTAAATAATGATTTTCCTTCTCTTTTATTTTTTAAATGAAGTTTTGAGGTAAATATTGAAAATAAACATTTCACATATGAGAACTTTAAATATATTTTGGTACTTTTACTTCTTTTTTTTTGGTGGGGGGGAGGATTATTTCATTATTCAATATTGATTTAAGATATATCAATTTTTTTAATAATTAATTTCTAAAAACTTAAATTTAAATTTCATATGATTGTTACTCTATTTTTTAAATTATTTTTGTCTGTTACTATACAATACTGTTATTTTTTATAGTGAAATTATTTTAGTTTTAAATAATTTTTAACTTTTAATAATAAAGATACGGTTTATTATCAACCAAAAATTAAGCAATGTAAATCGAGAATTCAAAAGAAAAATGAAATTACACGGATTTAAAACACACGACCTCACTAATTAAAAAGATAATAATTGTGTGGAGAAGTTACGGATGTGGATGAGGAAGTTAATAGTAGTATGATATTTATCTTCTGCTGGTTTTCCTTTTATTTTGCATGAATTAGTTACAATATATATTTTAATTTAATTTTTAAAGAACTCAAATTTATCTCTTAGTAAAATTTGATGGAAATTTAGTTGTAACTACTTGGAATTTTTTATTTTTTTATTTTTAACAAACGAATAAAATTGAAATTTTTTATTATTTTAAAATAAATTTTAAACTCCCAACTTTCACATTTGAGACAAATTAACAGTTTATATTTTACATTCTTCTTCTTATTATTAGATATCGATAGCTATGTAATCGCTTGCTTATTGCATAGTACTTGTAATAAACATTTTAAATTTCTTACTCTTTTCCGTTACAGATAGAACGGAGGAACGAGGACGATATAAGGAGCATAAACGACATGATTGATCATATGTTAAAGTATTTAGACAATTCATCTACTGAATCATATATCATATTCAAAGTAAATGTGGGGCTACGTGAATCAAATCCAGATGCGTATACACCAAAGATGGTCTCTATTGGTCCTTACCATAAGAAAAATCCTCAACTTCAATCAATGGAAAGGCACAAACTATTGTACCTACAAAGATTTCTTAGACGGAAGGAGGGGCTTGATTTGAATAATTGCATCTGTGAAATGCATAAACTAAAGGAGGAAGCACTAAAGTGTTACGAAGAGGACGGGAATTATCATGATTTTCTCGCAATATTGGTGATTGACGGTTGTTTTGTAGTTGAATTTATTCGAGAGTATTGTAAAATATGTCTAGAAGAAGAAGCTATGATTATCATTGATGATCGTGCAAGATACATATTTCGAGACTTGATGTTACTAGAAAACCAACTTCCTTTCTTTGTCATCAACAAGCTTCATTCCATGACAAAGCAAGTTAACGAATCATCATTGGTAGAACTGGTGAATGATATGTGTATCTCTTTCAGGCCATCGTTTCACGGGACGGAATGTAATAATGTTGGAAATATCAAACATTTACTTCAACTATACCACATAATTTCATGTCGTCAGATTAATCCCAGGAAAAAGTCCAAAACATATACTTCATCTAATAAGGTTATGCCAAATGCAACGGAGCTTTCCGAAGCTGGAGTTAGCTTTGCAAAGGTCGACGGTATGACAAGTTTATTGGATATAAAGTTTGAGAGTACTACTGGTTTAATGACAATCCCTTGTTTACCAGCCGAACTTGATACGGAAATCCTCTGGCGAAATCTCATTGCTTATGAGCAACAATCATCTGATGTACAACCTAAATATTTCAGTGATTATGTTGTTTTCATGGATCATCTTATCGACTCAGAAAAAGATGTGAATTTGCTTCGCCAGAAAGGAATCATAGTGAACTTCATGGGAGACGACAAAAACGTGGCTAACCTCTTCAACAAACTCGGAAATGGGGTCATGACGCATTTCGACTTCTATTACAAAGAAGAATGCAGAAAAGCAGTTGAATATAGTGAAAAACCATGGAATAGAATGAAGGCAAATTTGAAACACAATTATTTTAGTAATCCTTGGGTAGGAGCTTCAACTGTGGCAGCCATCATACTCCTCCTACTTACAACTATACAGACTGTTTTAGCTTTCACAAGTTCCGTTAAGTAACTAGTAATTGTCATGATTAATTGTATTGAGGTTTTATTAATTGTGTTTCTCTTAGTTTTATTTTATTAGTAACGAATTATAGTACAGTAATTAATTAATCATTTTTAGTTGAACATTTTTCAGACCCAACCGTAGTTTTCTATCGAAATCTACCACTCGACAATCAAAACCACAAAAATAAGTGCATCAAAACAAATTGCAAAATATATAAAGTTTTTTGCCTTTTTGGTTGTTGTAGTTGTAACTTGTAACTGATTTGACCAAACACTTAAACTTACCAATTGATCATCTAAAGGTGTATCTCGTGGACACTCAAACATGACCTAAACTATTGTGTGTCTTATTTACATATTTGAACGCGTGAGATGTTATTCCAATTCATTTTTAGCTTTAAAAATATCATAAAATTCCTAGTTACACATACCCCGGCCCCTCTCCATTTTTAGTCATTTCTATACCCCCACCATCACAAACATAACTCTATTTTTATTATCTCTCTCATTTTTGAAGACTTGAAAGACTGCCAGAAACATTGAACTAATTACTTTGTGGGACTGGACGAAGCAGATTTATGCGAGGCGTGTGGAATGGGCTGAAAATAAAAAATTATGGTACGTGGGGCGAGGCGGGGTGAGGGCATTGAAATCTTAGCGAACTTGCTCCGCAATAATCACTATATAAAAAATTGATTTTTAGTGACAATTAATTAATATCAATAATTTAATTGTTGCTAAATATGTTTTTTTGAGACAATTAACACTTTTTGTAAAGGATGTATCGACATTGAATCCAATAAAAATTAACTAATTCTATCGATAAAATTTTTAACACGTTTTATTAATGTGCATTAATTACTAATTACCATTAAAAATTATTTTTGGTATAACGCTCCATTTGCCATCCCAAATTTGACTAACAAAATTTTACTAATTCTCTGGCACAAACCACCACCAAAAAAAAGAACAAAATGAGTATTTGTACCTATTGCAGTACGGACTATTGTTAATTATAGTAAAAAAATTTTGTGTAAAATCGTACTATTTATTTATTTTCTTAATATAAATATTGAATATGAATAAATTTTTACTATGTTACCCTATTATTTAATTAGACTGATCAATACTGGCACAATACATTTAATGGAGACTGGTTTGGTGGTAATGGGAGAAGTAAGCGATTATTTCTCTTTTTTCATCATTTCATATTATTTGATTCATGTTTGACTTGACACTCTTTTTAAAATTATTAAAAATAAGAAAACGCATATTATATTTTTATTGACTATATATATATATATTGAAAACGAGTAAGCTTTTACTGTTAAATCCTATTAATTATTAGATTGATCAATATTGACACAATGCATTTAAAGGAGAGTGTATGTCTGGTGGGAACGCGAGAAACGTAAGTGATTATTCCCTCGACTGTTTCATATTATTTGATTCATGTTAATTTCACATTTTTCATGAAATTATTAAAATAGTATGAATAAAAGTAATAAAATTCTTTTAATTTATCAAAATAAATAATTTATTTTAAATATATATATACCGATTAAGTAAAATGAAACGAAGAGACTAATCGGCATTTAAAAAACGTGCATAGCTTCTTTCTTCTGTAATTATGTTCTGGACTGTATGTGGTAATAAATTATTAATGGTGGACAAATTGTAAAATTAATTTTTGTACCTAACTTTCTATTTGCAGTGAAAGTGAAATATCTGGGAAATGAACAATATAACTAGACATTGAAATAAAGTGAAAGGGAAAGTTCTAATTATATTTGGTTGATCACTCGTAATTCAAAGTCTCCTAATTGGAGCCACAGTGGTATTTTCTTCGTCTTGTATTAATCGTTATGCTTTTTACATGTTTTTTTTAAGAAATCATGAATAACAATCATTTCTTTTTTACTAATTGGAGAGGAGCCACAGTAATATTTTCGCCGTTTTATCATCAACCGTCTGATTTGCAACATACCTTTAAGTTTATTCGTAGCTTTAAAGATGCATACACACATAAAAATTAGTTAGTATACAGTGATAATCATATATACTAAGTTGATGTGAATGATACACAATTTCTAAATTAATCGATAAATGATGACGAACGATAGATAAATCATGTGAAACTTAGTTTAACAAGGAGATTATTGAACTCATGTGAACAAAGTTCCATATCTGTTTTGTTACTAAAGAAAAGATAAATTCCATATAAGTGTTTAATATTATTAAATACAATTAATTTACTCAAAAATGAGAGAGAGTTTTAATTATATGTTTGTACTTTGTGTCATATTAAAGAGTCTACCTACCCTATTTTGTAATATTAATTTTGCACCTAACTTTTTTTTATTTTGTACTCAAAAGTAAATTATCGTGGTAGAAATATAGTCATTGACTTCAGTCAACAGGCTCTCAATTTTTTTGTCTATCATCGGCCAATACAACATTTTAAGTTGAAAAGCTGCAAAAGTAAAGCATATATCGAATAATTATGTGTAAAATATATTTTATATATTAAATTTGAAAATAATGAAACATTAATTTTCTTACACAGGATCTGGATGAAGGAGATCGATGAAAATGACTACAAGCCGATAAATACTTAATTTATATCTGAAGTTTTTTTTTCAAAATTTATTATGCTACTCTTATTGAAATTAAATTAGTTCTAACATCTTGAGTTATACGATATTCCATCAATTTGATTAGTTATAAGTGTTATCTCTTGTATTCAGATTACCAAACCAGAAATAATAAAAGATGAAAAGAAAAACACAAAGAACTATCCGAGTCCACAGAACCCACTGTGTGTCCTTAAGAAATTTAATCCCCTCAAGTACCCGAGGTTGCAGATTAATTCCTCCCAAGATAAAACGGATTAACCATTAAAGAAGTAGCGGTACCTCAAACTTCGATAATTTCAACGAACTCAAAATGACAACAACGAATCACATACACAGACACGATCGATCGATTTTGTTTTGTAAGAAATGTATGCAAAATAAGGGAAGAATTCGATCCAGAAAAATGAGAGAAAACCTCTCTATTTATAGCCAACAAAGGGTAAAGGTCACAACCCTTTGGAAAGAAGACAACCTTTCAGAAAGGTCACAACACTTTGAAAGTCACAACCATTTAGAAAGAACACAACCTTTCATAAAGGTCACAATCCTTCGGCATAGTCACAACCCTTCAGGAGAGTCACAACCCTTCATTTCCTGTTCACACCTTTAAAACCCAACATTATGTCATATATGAATCATGTGTCTACATGTTCAACTTTATACAAGTTAAAGTGTTTACTTGTGCACACCAAAAATTTGGAAGCATAAATATGAAATAAGGTCAAGTTAAATGACACATTTATATATCATGCCTTTGATTAATTTGATTGTGTTGACCTACCAATTGGAAAACAAATGATAAAGGGTGAGTATCCTATGTCTTTGTCCCCCATAAAGTAAAGTAAATCACGTGGACAAAATCCCTTAGCCTTAGAATAATTGTTACGAAAATCTCTATCTTTTAGTCATTCCAGCAAACAAAGAGAAATGGCTTATGCTGCACTTTCTTCACTTATCTATACATTGAAGCAACTCTTGAAACCTAATCAACCTTTCGTTTGTCTAAGTTCTACACAACATCATGTTCGATCTCTCTATCAAAATCTTTCTGTTCTGCAAGTTTTCCTTGACGACACAACAAAGGAAACCAAAGATATTGAAACTCTTAAGTTTATAGAAAAGAGGATCAGAGATGTGATATACAAAGCAGAAGATAAAGTTGATTCAAGTCTAAGAAACATCATTCTAGCAGATTGCGGAGAGAAGAGAGAAGGGGCTGCGAAATTCTTCGAGGAAGAGTTACTAAAAGTGGTAAAAGATGTTGATTCTCCCAGGAAAGAGGTGATGGCAGTTGAGTGTAACAAGCATGGAAGCAAATCTGCAGAATTAGCAACAACTCCTTCCTCACCAGAAAAAAGTATAATTGAGGAAAATACTATTGTTGGAATGGAGGATGACTTCAACATCATATTTGATCGCCTCAGTTCCCAAACAGATGAGTTAACTGTAATACCAATTTTTGGTATGGGCGGTATAGGCAAGACAACTCTTGCCAAAAAAGTTTATGATGATGCATATATTCGCTCTCGATTTGATAAACATGCATGGGTCACTCTCTCTGAAGATTACAATCAGAAACAAATGCTTCTTGAAATTGCCTCTTCGATTACCGGGATCAATCAAGAAATGAGTGATGATCAATTAATGGAGATTGTGTATAGAGGTCTGAAGGGTAGGAGATTTCTAATTGTCATAGATGATATTTGGAGTACTGAGGCTTGGGAGCAAATGCAAAGAATATTTCCAAATGATGACAACAGAAGCCGAATTCTATTAACCACACGGCTCAAGTATATTGCTGATTATGTCAGCTGTCCTGATTTTCCACCTCATAGTAAGTCTTTTCTAAGTCCAGAAGATAGTTGGAATCTATTCACCGAAAAATTATTCAAAAAAGATCAGTGTCCTCCTTTACTTGTAGAAATAGGGAAGCATATTGTACAGCAATGTCAAGGATTACCTCTCTCGATTGTTGTCGTTGCTGGACTTCTTGGAAAGATTTTAGATGGATCTAAGCTTCCTGATTCTTTCAGTATTTTAGAGGATCTGGAGACACTACACATAGAAACACAAGAAAACATTGATCCGATGATTATCTCTAGAGATATTTCTCTTCCTAATCTCAACAAGTTGAAATTATTTGGTACTCGTATACCATGGGAAGTTGTGAATTTGCTGGCTAATTTACCCAATCTTGAGGTGCTCAATGGGAATCGTGCATTTGTTGGAAAAGATTGGAAAGTAGATGAAGATGTTGTATTTCACAAATTAAAATATCTACATCTATATAGGTGCAGAGATCTGGAAAGGTGGGAATTAGCAGCTGGTAGTGATAATTTTCCGATGCTTGAGCAACTAAAACTGTATCTATTGCCTGAACTGGAGGAGATTCCGGAGAGTATTGGAGAAATAATGACAATAAAATCAATCCGAATAGTTGATTGCGGCTCTGGTGTTAATACAAGTGCAAGGAAAATTCAACAAGAGCAAGAAAGCTTGGGAAATTATGAGCTTCAACTTCAAATTTTTCCTATAGTATGTTAAAATTCAAATTCCATCTTTGATTATTAGTCAATTCTTAATTAGTATGTTCATGTGCTCTTCCTATATCCTTATAATACATATCAAACAAACATTTTATTAAGTGATAGGGAGCAACCCCAACTCAAAGGGATATTTTTTATGTGAAAAACGATCCAAGGGTATATGTGCTCTATTTCATATAGTTCCAAATAGAATTTGTAAATTATTTAATAAAGTAGCTAAATTATATATCCTATCCAATTTATCATATATTATTTGTGCATTGATTTTGTGAAATGACAAATATGAAAGACCATTTATTTTTAGTAAGGACAACATATAAATTAAAAACAGAGAGAGTATCACTTATGTTAGACCATAAATTTCGAAAGTCTTTTTTTTTCTTAAATTTTGTATTAAATCAAATTTTGTGGACACTTGTGATTAATCCACTTGATACGTGTGAATGACCAACTTGATATGTGTGATTGATCTACTTGAAGTTTATTGGTTGTTAAACTGTGACTATTGGTCTGTGAGTTTTAAGCCTTATGAACTGTTTATTGTAAATTGTTGGTTGGGCTGATTTCTATTCAGATTGTAGTTTGAGGAGGTTTGATTGAGCTGATTTCTATACAGGTTGTAGTTTGAAGAGGTTCGGTTGGGATGAAAGAGAAAGTCAAGAGGAGGGGGGGGGGTGAATTAAAAAAAATCCTTTAGTCGACTTCCTGGATTGGATAGTCGACTCACATGCAGATTAGTACGACAGTAAAAGGTAAGAGTACAAGTGAAAAGTAAAAGACTCAGAGAGTTTTATGCTGGTTTGGAACACCGATGTAGTGCCTACTTCGAATCCCCTTGCTTTTCCAACATCACATAGTTGACTGCTAAGCAAATTATGTTTGAGTCCGTCAACAAGATATAATTCTGATAGATCACAGGATGAGTTGAGAGTGATTGATCCAACTTCTATTACTCTCCTTTTGCATTATCTCCGAACCGCACATACCCTCCATCAAAATCTTTTAGAGTTTTGAAGTTTTCTTTCTTTCCACGCATATGTATGGAGCATCCACAATCTATTACCCACATTTCTTTTTTGTAGATTTTCTTGGTTTGATCTTGTAAGACAATTAAAATAATTTCTTTGAAAGTTTGATGGGGTTGAAAGTTGATTTTGTCTTTAAGGATAGAGCAGCAAGATATGTTGAAATATATTTGAAATTTTTCTCCACATGTAGTAACACAAAAATCTTTATTATCATCACGTTGATTGCAAATTGATTTGAAACCACTTGAGCTTGTCTTCAATCTTATTCAGTCATTGGATCATTGAACCATGTGCTTTGATACCACTTGTTGGGTTGTGAAGGTGATTAGGGCGTCATGTGGAAGCTTATAATTGCAAATCATAAGACAATAAATTAGACGACACATAAAATTATACTAAAAGACATAATATTATTATATGATATGACCAACTATGATACATAATTATAAACTAATAAAAATACCTTAAAACTGTAGAGAGTGAAATCTCCCCATAAACAAAAGTCTCTAAACAAGTGGATTCTATTGTTATGTTGTGTTAGAACAAACAAGTATTTTCCTTTCAGGAAAAGTAAAATCATTTATGGTAATATTTTGTCTTTTCCTTTAGGAAAAATAAAATTTCAAATAAGGTAAGAAAATCAAGGCAAAACCCAAGAAGAAATTAAGAAAACATTATTTTGTATGTTTACATTCTCTTCGCTAACACTCATATTATTTATCTTTTGCACTTTCTTTTTAATTTTTTTTTTTTGATAAGTTAGAGTAATATACTGTCAAAAATATAAATTAATAGTCGAAAAAATTCAACAAAGTGACTTACACTTTTTCTTTTGTTTGTTTCTTCTTAAATATTCAAGTTTTAGATTAACATATTAAAGTAGATACCAAGTTATCAATTTCTTGTATCAGATTTTATGGTTATAATTCTTATCTTTATGTAAAGTTTGTCAACTTATTACTTGTAGTATTACGTTAACAATTTATAGAATGATTCATATTTTCCAATGTTGAATTGATAAAATATTACTTAAACTTGATAATTAAAAACGATATTCGAAAAAAATCATTTTAAGAAAAGATATCAAGTAATAATTTGCACTTAAAGAGTTTTAAAAAAATAAACAACTATATTTGATATTTATATATATTTTAGGCCTCAATTAAAATTTTGTTTTAGGCCTCAAATTACGTTGAGCTGCCCCTGGTTCAATGTCATAAATAACCCAAGACTAAAGTCATTTTGTGGACCACCCAAGAAGAAGACTTGGGAGTCAAATGTCTCATTATCATGGAAGTGAATGACAACGAATTAAAAGTTAAAAGTTTCACTGTCCTATGATTGTTTTAAAGGGCCGGGTGAGCGTATCCTATGTCTTTGTCCCCCATTTAGAAAAAAGTGGTGTGATAAAGAAAAGTAAATCATGTGGACAAAATCTCGTTTTAAGTAAGATTGTGGGGCAGGTTAGTTGTGTTTTTTGTTGTACAAAATTCAAGACGGTATATATTATTAACTTAAGTAATTCAATACGTCTTGACATTTTATGATAATATAAATTTCGAGGAAAATTTGTACCGGAAGTTTATTATATTCGTCCAACTTGACACATGATGTCTTCATTATTCTATTTTACAACAGGGTTCAATGTCTCTGACAAGTTGGAATCCAATGTATATTATGAATCAGAAAATCTCTTAGCCTTAGAATAATTGTTACGAAAATCTCTATCTTTTAGTCATTCCAGCAAACTGCAATATTTTTTTGTTAAGAGAAATGGCTTATGCTGCTCTTTCTTCACTCATGTATACATTGGATCAACCCATGAAACCTAATCAATCTTTCGTTTGTCTAAGTTCTACACAAAAACATGTTCGATCTCTCTATCAAAATCTTTCTGTTCTGCAAGTTTTCCTTGACAACGCAACAAAGGAAACCAAAGATATTGAAACTCTTAAGTTTATAGAAAAGAGGATCAGGGATGTGATATATGAAGCAGAAGATAAAGTTGATTCAAGTCTAAGAAACATCATTCTAGCAGATTGCACAGAGAAGAGAGAAGGGGCTGCGAAATTCTTCAACGAAGAGTTGCTAAAAGTGGAAAAAGATGTTGATTCTCTCAATAAAGAGGTGATGTTGATCGAGTTTAACAAGCATGGAAGCAAATCTGCAGAATTAGCAAGTATTTCCTCCTCACTAGAAAAAAGTACAATCGAGGAAAATACTATTGTTGGGATGGAGGATGACTTCAACATCATACTTGATCGTCTCACTTCACAAACAGAGGAGTTAACTGTCATACCAATTTTTGGTATGGGCGGTATAGGTAAGACAACTCTTGCCAGAAAAGTTTATGATAATTCATGTATTCGTTCTCGATTTGATAAACAAGAATGGGTCACTATCTCTGAAAAATTCAATGAGAGACAAATGCTTCTTGAACTTGTCTCTTCAATTACTGGAAGCAAACAAGAAACAAGCAGTGATGAACTAATGGAGATTGTGTATAGAGGTCTGAAGCGTAGGAGATTTCTAATTGTCATAGATGATATTTGGAGTACTGAGGCATGGGACCAAATGCAAAGAATATTTCCCAATGATGACAATAAAAGCCGAATCCTATTAACCACTCGACTCAAGTATGTTGCTGATTATGTTAGTTGCCCTTATTTTCCGCCTCATAGTAAGTCTTTTCTAAGTTTAGAAGATAGTTGGAATCTATTCACCGAAAAATTATTCAAAAAAGATCACTGTCCTCCTCTTCTAGAAGAAATAGGGAAGCATATTGTACAACAATGTCGAGGATTTCCTCTCTCAGTGGTTGTCGTTGCTGGACTTGTTGGAAAAATGGACCCAACGTATGATAATTGGAAGAATGTTGAGGAAAATCTGAACTCATTCTTTGGTACAGTGTCCGAACGGTGCCAATCAATTCTGTCTCTGAGCTACAATTATTTGCCCCAATAATTGAAGGCTTGTTTTCTCTATGTTGGAGTTTTTCCAGAAGACAGAGAGATTAATGTTTCCAAGTTGATTAAGGTATGGATTGCTGAGCAATTCGTAAAGGAAAGGAAGGATAAAAGATTAGAAGTGGTGGCAGAGGAGTATGTAGAAGAATTAATTGATAGAAGTCTAATTTTGGCTGGTAAACAAAGGGCTAATGGAAGGACGAGAACTTGCAAAATTCATGATCTTCTTCGCCAACTGTGCCTAAGTGAAGCTCATACTGAAAATGTTGTGCATGTCATGAATGGGAATGTTCTCGAAGCCATAGATGATCAACGTAGAGTGATCCTTCTGTCTAAATATGAAGAGAAGTATGATTATCGTCCGCGACATAGTAGTGGTATTGTCCGTACCTTTATTTCAATGGGTGTAGCTTTTCCAAAAGAGATGTCTTCCAGTATTTCAGAGTTCAAATTGCTTAAGGTGTTGGACTCATTATCAATTAAAACCGATTTCTCTGGGGTAATACCTCAACTTGTACATTTGAGATATGTTGCTGCAAGAATTGAGAAAGGTCTTTCACTAGCCAAATTGAGAAATCTACAGACCATAATTTTTAAAGGACTTACAGTACTGCATAAGTTGGAGCAGCCACTAGATATCTGGCGAATGACAGAGATAAGACATTTGCATATTAGATCGCCTCTATATATATCAAATCCTGTTGAAGCAGAACAAACTTTGTTTCTCAATAACTTGCAAACACTTTATCTCTATAACTCTCCTTTTGTTGCGGAAATCATAAGAAGAAGTCCGAATCTAAAAAAGCTAAAGATTTCTGATTATTCTGAGCATCCTGATTGGCCTGCAATTCTTGATTCTCTGAGTCTTATACAGGATCTGGAGACACTACACATAAAATGGACGATTTTCTGTGGGGATAATTTCTGTCCTAATCTCAAGCAACTGAAATTAACATGTACTTGGATACCATGGGAAGATGTGAAATTGCTGGCTAATTTACCGAATCTTGAGGTGCTCAAAGGGGATCGTGCATTCGATGGAACATACTGGAAATTAGATGAAGATATTGTGATTCACAAATTAAAATATCTACTACTGAATGGGTGCTATCATCTGGAAAGGTGGGAATTAGCAGCTGGTAGTGATAATTTTCCGGTGCTTGAGCAACTAATACTGGATAGTTTGTATACACTGGAGGAGATTCCGGAGAGTATTGGAGATATAATGACACGAAAATTCATCGGAATAAATTGGTGCGGCTCTAGTGTTCATACAAGTGCAAAGAAAATTCAACAAGAGCAACAAAGCTTGGGAAATTATGAGCTTCAAGTTAAACTCTCCTATGGTATGTTAAAATTCCATCTTTGAATCAGATCACTTGTGTTTAGAGGCTTTATTTTAAATTTGTGATCATTTGGAGCAAATTTTAAGGTGGTTTAATTGAAATTGCAAATTTAAACAACACTTTGTTGAACAATAAATATAAATTTGTCAACAACACATTTTGTTTATTTGTGGTGTATTTCTCAATTTGTCTTGGAGTTATTTCTGGAAATTGTGTAGAAGGAATGAAAGATGAAGAGAGAGAAGGAGTGGCACTTGCAGGAAGCTGGTGATGATTACACTGCTTCTCATTATATGCTTCCACATCTTCTCAATTTGTGAGTTATACTTCCAATTTAATGCTTTATTTTCTTTTTTTTAACTTTCTCCTATTACTATGTTTTTAAATTTATAATCATGTATGTTGTAGCAATCATAGCAATCAGTTACGTGATAGAGTCAGAATTTTCACACACAAAAAAATAAGAATAGGATATAGAGTGTGGAGGAAAATATTGTTTACTTGCATTCATAACTTCCTCTATATTAGTAAGGCAAGGGTGATTATGAATATTACTATTGATTGCAGGGTAAAGCAGATAAAATCATCATTCTATTCACTAAGCTGTACTCCCCATTACTTACATACAACATACAATATAATTGGCTAAAGGTAGAGGTGTTTCACCAACTGAGCAAGCTTCACTCGTCTTTGCCAAATATATTCATTTGTGGTTGTATAATTTATTCCTGTTGTTTTTAATGTTTTGCGAACAATGTTTGCAGCTGGGATAAGAAACCTTTACGGAATAGGGAAACAGTGAAGGTACCACTTGTTGGATGTATGATCGAGGTATCTTGAAGTTCGATGCTTTTAGCACATGCTCTAATGGGGTTTGGAAAAGATCCCTCCATGTAAATTGCAGTGCACTGTTTTTAAGTGTTTCAATTAGTTTTTACCAGATTGTAAAGATAATTATTGAGTTGATCCATTTTGGCCTCCATAGATAATTTTCATCCTATTATTTAAGTTATATGTAAATTTTAGCCACTATTACTAAACCTGGGATAAAACTTGTGTGCTCCTCTGCTTCTTTTCTTCTATAGATTTAATTCTCCATCTTAATATTTTTGACATCCCTAGCCAGTTGATTTTTTTATCGTTCGTATCCGATCTATTATTCAAAGTTAAGGGAAGAGTTTGATTTTTAAACGAAGTTGAGGGTTTAAATGTTTTTCACTCTGATTAAATATGATAAACAGTTATACGTGCTAATATATTCAATTTCTTTTATTTGAATTTGATAAAGTAAAGTCGCTTATGGATCCTCCATATACAGAGTGAGTGAGTAATATCATCAAACGTCAAGAATTGGATGATAGACACAATTCTCACTAGTTAATCTCATCCATTAGAGAAGTTGGCAAAACACCAACTTATAACTATTCCCAACCTTTATTTTACATGAGAAGCTCAATAAGATGGACATACTCTTAATAAGCATAAAAAAGGTCAATTTTTGAATCAGCACAATAAGCAAATCTTAGTGTCAATATAGAGGCTTATGGGTGTGACATTATCATCTTTTAAATTACATGGTTCTAAATCAATAATTTAGGCATATTCGATGAATTTCTTAAGACAAATACAATGTATGAACCAAAGTTATTGGATTCGAACAAATCCATAACCAACACCCTAGCTCTACCCCTGTTTCTAGAATCCTCCCTCTTCCCTAAGCCTGCAAAAATTTGAATCCCCCAAGATACAGAGGCAACTTCTATCAGTGATCTATCCACGTAATAAGTTATCATAGCTAACCCATTTGGTAGGGAATATTTACAAAAAGATAAACAACAAACTACAGTTAAACAAATGACAAGCTCCTTCTGGAACAATAAAAACGAGTTGCTGCGTTAAAAACCTAATGGAGTTTTTAGGACAACCTGAACCGGTGCAGGATCTGTTTCATGCACAAGTTTCCAATCAACTGCTCTTAGAAGCTGCATATCAAAGAGAACCATTAGGCACAACATTGCTAACAACTTTCGTATTTTACAGAGATCCGCTGATTAAGAAGAAAAGAAATTGCTAAGGACTTAAAAATGCATTCTTTCAAGCAGAATCAAGAAGTAACGGATAGAAATTTTACTTTACTGACCGTACTTATTGATCAAACAACACTCTGAGGAGAAAACTTTTTTACCTAACAATGATGTATTTGATTGAGGCACAGAAATGAGTAACAGATTAATGGACAATAACATGTTGTTGGAGACATTTATATAGATGACTGAAGTATTTGAAAATTTTTGATCAGCTGAACTTGTCGGAAAAGGTCTGTCGCACTGATTGAGGAGGTCAAGCAGACTCTCTACGTTTCTGTTACAGTGATCGATGAGGCTGAGCAACAACTTTTCGTTTCTGGAGAATTAAATTAGGTCTAGGATTATCAGCTAATTTATAATAAATAATATTTATAAAAACTGTATAGTTAATTAAAATTGTAGGGTTAAAACGGTAAATCAATTTTTGGGTTAAACTCTTCCCACTTATTCATATATTATTATTATTATTATTATTAAAAGTGGGAAGGTCTTAACCTTAAAGATGGATTACCATTATACCCCCATACGATATTAATATATCTAATTAATTAAATTTTAGTAATAATCTATATATAAATTTTAATGATAATCAATTAAAATGAAAAGTCACTATAGTTGGCTGAATTCCCTGCATGTACCCAACATTTAGTATAATCTATTAAATTTTTTGGATATTAATATATCCATTGCTCTGTAGATGCTTTCATCTTCCAACTAAAAATTAGCTGAAAAGTTATAGCTTGGGTAATGAAGAATTTTAATATATTGGTGAAGGGTGACGAAGAGTCGTATAGTGTGTTTAAGAGCCAGTTAATTCTATAAATGTATCTCAGCATTCTTTTACCCAAATTTTCAATGCTTTGGTTTCTTGCCAGCTTCAATATAAATCATATTCTTTAATTTCTTTCTCAATGCATTCAATTTCTCTTAAATTCTTATATAAAGTTTTAGATAAAATTCTCCAGTTTACTTAATTTTCTTTTTTCCTATTTAAGATCGATCATTACCAAAAATTGACATTTCTTCCGTTATAAAAGAGAGATTTTGGTGATTTCTTTGGAAAGAGAAGTCGAGATGATGACGATATTAGTTTTCATTTCATATCGCCTAATGTCTCTCATATCTTGTATCTTTTATCATTATCAATTATATAGTAATTTGGCACTGAATCTCTCCTCCCCGTCACTTTCCAGGCGTAGTTGATATAGATACTATAGCTGATAATGGCGGATGAGGTGCCACATCCTCTGGATTATATATCAGAAGTGATTCTAAAGAAGAGGAAAAAAAATGAAGAATGGACAATTAGAAGGAAACTCCAGCTGGAATAGAAAGTCAAAAAGCTCAAATCTGTTGTGTTATCATTATAAGCAGTTTGGCAAGACAGAACACCTAAAATCACTACTACAAATCCAAGGTGATATTCCTTTTACTCCACCCATTCATGTATCTCATAAGATTAATGTTTATTTATGCTCAGAAAAATTATTGTAATTTGTAATTACATCTTTATTGATCTATTTTTATTTTGTCAGTAGACATACATGTAAATCAAAATGCAAATACCAAATATTTATCACTTAATTTCATTCTTTATTCTTTTTCTATGAACGTATGGAAGAAAAATATTCTCTTCTTTTCCAGTTTTCATGTCTTGGCATTTAAATTTTATACATTTGAGGATGTTAGCATCAAATTGATGCTTCAATTTTTCCTTTATACATCTCTAAGCATTCTTTTCTTTATTTTTTCTCTATAATTTCGTGTAACTCATGGTACACATATTCTAACTTTATGTATTTCATTTTAAATAGTGTACCAATTAACATGTGATACATTCTCTATAATTTCGTGTAACTCATGGTACACATATTCTAACTTTATGTATTTCATTTTAAATTGAGTGTACCAATTAACATGTGATACATTCTCTATAATTTCGTGTAATTCATGATACACAGTATTCTAACTTTATGTATTTCATTTTAAATTGAGTGTACCAATTAACATGTGATACATTCTCTATAATTTCGTGTAACTCATGATACACATATTCTAACTTTATGTATTTCATTTTAAATTGAGTGTACCAATTAACATGTGATACACGTGCAGTGCACGTGTCCAGAAACTAGTAATAATATATATGAATGAATGAATACTTTTGGTAAGAAACAATTAGTGTTTGGCCAATAAATTTTTGAACCCTTTGTTCATTTCTTCCAATCATCTATTTGTGCTTTTACTTAGCTTTAGTTTGGTTGGGGGAAAATGTGTTTCTAATGGAATTTAGGCCTATCTCAACCCTATGGATAAGAGTTGGTTTCTTGTTTCAAGTAAGACTGTGGGGCAGGTTAATCTTTAACCTATATGTTTTTTGTTGTAAAAAATTCTATACGGTATTATTAACTTAAGTAACTCAATACGTCTTGACATTTTATGATAATATAAATTTGGCATAATACATAAATGTCCCCTTTAACTTGGCATCATTTCACATTTATACCCTCCAACTTTGATGTGCACAAGTAGACGCTTAAACTTGTAATAATTCCTAAATTGAAGAGAGTAATTGTGTGGGTGAGGTTTGTAACAAGAAGCGAGTTTGAACAATTTGAGTGAACTGTGGAGTTTAGTCTCTTATTACAAGGATATAATTGTAAATATATTTTAAAGAGTCATGTACACGTTGAGACCCTTGCTATTCACCCAAGCCTTTGTCATTCTTCGCTATTATTTTCTCTCATCTCTCTGTATCCTAAACTTCAACTCCTTAGATTGCGGAGTTGTAATTTGAAACGTTGCTCTTGAGAAGTTAGTGGAGATGGGTGGTTGCAATCCTACACAATTGAGTCGTTAGCATAAACATGATCGTTCAGATTTGAAATAACTGAATCGAATTGTCATAAGCAATATTTATCAGTTAAACACTTGGATAAATTCCCATTTTCATCAGAGATTGTCATTCCAAACTTGTAGAATATAAATTTTTCGACATTTCAAAGCACCTTTCCAAAAAAGGAGTAAAAACTATGGCCATATAACATTATTTATATTCCGCAATTTACTTTGTGACTGAAGAATTCGATTCCTCAGCATTGTAGACTATGTGGTAGCTTAAATAACCCAAGACTAAAGTACTCATTTTGTGGACCACCCAAGAAGAAGACTTGGGAGTCAAATGCCTCATTATCATGGAAGTGAATGACAAAGGTTTCACTTTAAAGGGTGTCCTATGAGTTTTTTAAAGGTTGAGTATCCTATGTCTTTGTCCCCCATTAAGAAAAAGGTGGTGTGATAAATCATATATCATCATATCATATTATATTAAAAGTGGGAAGATCCTAAGTCTAAAATTGAATTACGAAAATGCCCTTCAAGTTTCTTAATTAAATAAAAATATGACAGCTATGTTGACCAAATACATTGTTAAAGGCTAGAATTTATCATCTTCCACTACTTAATGAGGTTTACTCGTGGGTCCTTTTAGCTTCTGTTGTTACATTCTTCTATTAGCATTCCATTCATTTTTGGTTTATCCTTTTATAAATTGAACAAGAAAATGTTAGTCCTCTTATTTTTTGTGTTTCATCCTCTTGTTTTACTCACTTAATTTTTTATTGAGAAAATGCACAAGTACCCCTAACCTGTGCCTGAAATCTTAGAGACACTTATACTATACTAAGGTCCTATTACCCACCCTCAAACTTATTTTATAAATAATTTTCTACCCCTTTTCGGCCTACGTGGCACTATCTTCTGGGCCCAGCGCATGTTGACAATTTTTTCAAGCTATCTGGTTGATAGTGTCACGTAGGTCGAAAAGGGGTAGAAAATTATTTATAAAATAAGTTCGGGGGTAATAGGACCTTAGTATAGTCTAAGTGTGTCTCTGGGATTTCGGGCATAGGCTGGGGGTACTTATGCATTTTTCCCTT